GGGTGTCCGAATTAACGACTTTTGACTGTATATCAAAATATAATGTCTGTGTCATTATATACAATGACCTATTAATAACCCAAGTGAAAACAGTTACCACTTATCTCTATCTACTGGCTTTTAAAAAAATCAAATAAATCATTTCGTTTTAACGTTACTGGATTTTAATGTTTTAAGCGTTTAATGATGCTGGGCTGGTAGGAGCAGAATCATTGTGTCGCGCATACGGGACACTGGGATGGTAGGAATATAATCGTTGCATCGCGTATACGTGGCGCTGGTCCTGAATGGGTTAAATGAGCATTTTCCCATTGTGCAGTTTCTTCGTTCTCTAGGAATAACTCCAGTGATTTTTTTTTTAAGACCGATCATGCCTTGGAAGAGAAGTAACCTTGGTCATGACCTTGGAAGAGAAGTAACATGCCATAGTCGCTACTCATTCCAAAACTCCTGTTGCTAGCCACATATGGTATAAAATGAAGACATGCTACATACAATAAAAGGATCTTGCATCAAAATTTGTTTTGTAATTATATTGCTAGCGAGTAAAAATATTTTATATCTCCCCTCTAGTTTTAAAACAATTTTGAAATGCTCAAACTATCTGCATTTTGCCACATCTTTTCCCACAAAATTCTAAAACATAACATTACCGTTTTCTACTTGCTTGGTGATAGAAATATTGCATATAATGTGTATTGCTAAGTATTAACAGAATTTTCACACACCTAATATGTTAATTTAAAAAAAAAAAAAAGTTTTTTTTTACCTCCCACTTTTATTTAATGCAGTAAAATTATCTCTGAGAAAAGCAGAAATATTAAACAATTGCAATCTAAAACTTACTTTTTTGCTCTGTAGACAAAAACACATTTTTTCCCCATATAAAAATGTGTCTCTCGTCTTGTTACAACTCCTTCAATCTTCAACAGAGATGTATTTTCGTGCTGATTGCGAAGACCTCTTTTGTAACCAACAAAAACTGCTTTACAGTATAATCTGGAGGAAAAAAAAAAAAAAGTGATTGCTACAAAGGGGTAAAGCAAAACGTAATTTCAAGCTGTACCATATTCTTAAATTTAAACTTATGTTTAAAACAAATGAAAATGCAAACAATGCACCCTCATTATTATGCTAGAGATGTGATCAGACTTAACTCATGTAGGGAGATACACACTACACTGAAATTTCTTTCAATAAAAAAATTGCATAAAAACCTGCAGATACATATTTACATAGATGAATCCAAAAAAAAGTTACAAGCATTCTGATTTGAAAAGTAATTATTGTTGAGGAAATACTTTTCCCCAGAGTGTTGACACATCGCACTAGCTTTCTAGCAGCAACCATGTGGGTATGTACAGCAAGTTTGCAGATGAGTCAGAGTGATTCAAATGGCAAAATGTTTAGAAAAGTGGTCTCGCTTGGAGTTGCAAGCTGTAATTAATTATCCTGATCAAGTATCTGGACTGTCACCTACCATTACTACCAATTATTATTGTGCCAATTAGACAAGGTTACGTGAAGCCATGACACAAGCACCCTGGGCATGTTAAGTGGTGGTTTCATCCTCCTGTATGACAATACCCGGCCCCATACTACTCATTGAACTCAAGAACTGCTACAAAAGTTTAAAGCAGTAAGTTTGGAGTTATCCCCCTCCTCAATATAGCCCAGATTTTTAGCATAGTAACTATTTCCTTTTTTCCGAAACTGATGCAACATTTATCTGGAATGACGTTTTCTTGCGACTGAGGTAAAAAAACAGCTACCGAGAACTGGCTCAATGAGCAGTTACGTGATTTCTACTAAGCGAAGTTAAACAAGTTAGTCCTGCATTCAGATAAATGCCTAAATAGATTTGGTGATTAAGTGGTAAAATGATAGGCAAATATGCCTCTTAATTCCCTTTTACATTTTCTGTCTATTGTTAATATTTTTTTACTACACTTGTAAGCTTTTTTTGTGGATCCAACCCCGTAATGACAAATTTAAAAAAAATAATTTTATGTACTTTTAAATTAATAAGACATCAATACTCAAGCAAAACATAAATTATAAAATGTGTATGCTGCATGTGTGTATACATTAGATTTTAGATTACATATATATAATCGAAAAGTTTTACCTTTTAAAGTAGCCACTGCATATGCTTTGGCAATATTTAAAATCAATCTGGTGAAAATTAGAAGACATTACAGCAACATTCAAAAAGTGAAAATGCATAATATGTTTTGAAAATATCATTTATTTACCCTTATGGAGATCATAATTTAGGAAATTCTGCTACTACAGAATCACACATTTTCTCTTTTCCTAAATACTGCCACCATGTGGCTCCCCACAATCATTCACGTTTCTGTACATGTGTACAGGTACTGGATTCACAAAGTGGTATTTATGATCCATTCTAGAAATTTGAAAACTGACATTTTCTAATTCCTCATTCTCATAAGCAGGTCAAGCAGTATGATTCTTCTCTTCATGTGCCTGCTTTTCCATCAGGGTTTTGGTGTCTCTATTCAGAACTTGAACAAGAAATATCCATTCGTTTCTCTGAAGATGCCTCAAAAACACTAATGTTCCAGCAAAATTCTGCCTGCATAGTCCTTTTGCTTGATGAACAGACTTTCGGTCTTAACAATTTTTTCACGTTCACCAATTTAATATTTCATGTATTTCATTAAAAAATGGCACTGTTTTGTTATTGGGACCAGATGAAGAAATTTACATATCAGGGTTGCCACTCAAACAGGAGAATGAAATTCCCTGACTTTTCCAGGTTTTCCAGGTGCGTTTCAAGAAAATTCCAGTCTATCCGCGTAATGTACGTTGGGTACGCTAAGAGGTAAATTATGGTATTACTTGTATTGTGTAGCAAATTCACTTAATTATTCAATAAATCCCAGAAGACATTTATTCTTAATTATTCTTGGTATACTTTGTTTGATAATTTTGTTTACTTTTCCACTTAAGAAACTTAATAAAATTTAAGATATATATGCATTGGATAACAATTGTATGTTTTATTTAATTATTACTCATGATCATCACCAGTTCAATACGAGGTTAATCCGGTCCTTATAAATCACAACGCAATGCTAAATAGTTAGGTTAGATTTTAGGTAAATTTAATTTGTGTGAGGTATGTTCTTAAAAAGGTACCTTAACACTTGAAAACACAAATATAAAATTATAATAGTTGTTGTTTTCTCCAATAGCTTGAAGATTGAGATTAGAATCTTCCCAATCTGGAATAAAATAAGGCTTTTTTTTGCAAACATTCTGCAGCTAAACGAAACAAAGAAATCTATTTTAAATAATTGAGGTATTTTATATTTAGTTCGCAGCATACATAAGAAAAAATATGTGCATTAAATTTCGTGACGGTATGTCATCATACTGCTAGAATTAATTTCAAGGATTATGCCAGAGAAAATTTCCTGAAATTTGAAAGTATTATTTACTAAATAATTAAATAAATTTAGAGGGAAGAAGCAAACATTAAATGATACGAATAACATAAAATAAAGATAATTACTTTAAAAATTGTAATTAGAATAATTAACAATATTTTAGCGAATATAGTTATATTACAATGGTTAGGCTAGATGACAGATTACTATTTTTCTATTTTACTGCAAAATGGCAAGGTATTTATTAAAAAGAAAGTTTTAAAAGATTTTGCGGTAAAATTCTAGTATACGGTTAGGCTTTGGCACGATTTTGAAAATTGTCGCCAAGACCAAAATGACCCGTTTACTGCGCATCATTATAATGACACCAAATCCATTACATGTGTACCGTACCTGGAGGTTAACCAAAAGAATATATGCAAAGTTATCTCTAACCAAAGAATGTCTATGTAAAGAAGGAAAGGTTTCCATACAAGTAAAATGCTATTACGCCGCTAGAATGCGGAGGGAAAATTTGCCAAGGGATTTGGCGACGGAAACCTGGCGGCCAGAATTTCCCTTCTCCGCGATGTGTACCAGAAAGAAATTGAGGAACATGTGTTAAGAAGAAACGTTCTTTGACAAAAAGAAAAGCTACTGAAAATGTTTCAGATTTTAAATTATTGCGAAAAATCCAAGAAGAAACGTTTTATCATAGGACGTTTCTTCTTGGATTTTTCGCAATAATTTTAAAAAAACGGATTTTTTGTAGTTCCCCCCCCCTGAAAAAATTACTAACGTTATGAATTAATTTACTTGCGCCAAAAAAATATTTTCTTGTGCCGTGCGCTACAATATAGCAAGTGGTAAAGTGTCTCATTTACGCCGCTCTGCATCTGCGAGTGCAATCCAGAGCTGTAACTCGAGAAAATAAACAATCTCGTTGTTAGGCGACGTGTGCACCATGTTATTTTCATTTTTGTGATAAATGCTTATCGACGTGGTGTTCACGTCGCTCGCAGTTTGAGACAAAAACACATCTCGACGTGCGTCGCGCACGTCTTTTTAGCGCAAGTGGTTAAAGAAATTTTAAAAAGGATATTCATTTAATGAACTCTTGATAACGTGACCTTCGAACTTCGACAACCGGTTTCCAGCTTTGGCGGCAGATATATCACGCATGCACAGCTGTTTCCCTCTATGATGGAACGGAGCCACGTCTGTTGCAGAGAGGTTTTCCTTCTTTACAATACATATCTTTGATTCCTACCTCCATGGTACCGTTATATACTAAGATTAAAACCCATTTTGTTTTATACGAGAACAGGTACTTTCTTTAGTTCATGCACTGCACATGCGATTGTCGAGAATACTGGAAACCAAAAGTTGCGGGGAAACTTGCTTTGCCTTTCTAAAAGGCAATCAAATTGGAGCTGCGAAAATTGGCTCTATGCCAGCAGACACTCACGTGATAGGCAATTCGCCAAAAAAGTTATCTCTTCCGACGTCGGCGCAAAAATCGCTTTTTTTGGCGGGATCATTATATGAACTTCCCTGACTTTTCCAGATTTTGACAAAAATACTTAAATTCTCTGACTTTTCCCTGAATTTTTTGGTCAATTTTCGAATTCCCTGACTTTTCCCGGTTCTCCCGGTTTTCCAGGTAGCGTGGCAACCCTGACATATTTATGTGCTTATACGTGTATATACATGAGCACATACATCCATAGATTTCTGAATCCGGTCGCAATAACAGAAGAGTGACAAAAAATATTACATAGTTGTTGCAAACTTTGTTTTTAATTTCATTTTTATTTAGCTGTCTATTGCACCATCTGGAAATTTGTTCAGCCCCCCGGTGTATAATGTGGTGGTAAGAAGAGAAATCTAGGAACCATGAAATCAGTTATCAACACGAAGACCATTTCTCTCCCTTGCAGCCATTTTTGCAGTTATACTAAATACGAAAATTCTTAGAAAAAAAAATCACTTGTTTTTAAATTGATGGCTTCTAAAATATATGTTTAACAATTTAGAGGGGAGAAAAATGAAAGATACGAAAAATAAACGATATCACTATGAACCCATTGCTTATTTTTTTTCCCATCAAAAGGTTTAAGGTTAAAAAAGATGAGCATTTAATAGTGAAAATAAGCAACTCAAGAATACCTCATGACTATGAGATACTTTAAATGAGTAGTTTCATAGTCACTTTAAGTAACTAGAAATAATATTTTTTTCACCTAAATAACAAAAAATTATTACTTCCTTTATAATTAATTATAAGTTAAAAACTGTAAACATTTTAGAGAGAAAAAGAGAAATACTGAATTAAAAACATCATATGGACACATGGTGATGAAAATCTATTAATTCTAGCACCTATTCGTAAAACTGATCAGTTAACTGTTTTAACAAGGAAGTACGTAAATACAAATCAGCACATACATGTATGCTTTTTTGTTGCTCAATATGCAGTATTATTATACATTTTTAAAAAGCTGTTTCAAAAACATTTCTGAAATTTTCAGCCATGATTTCAACTTTTAAATTGATTATATTTTCTTTTGTACCTTAAACTATTAATCACTGATAAATGCAATG